TCACCCCATGGCAGGAATTCGAACCGCCAACCTTCTGATCGGCAAGTCCTAGGCTCTGTGATTTAACCACTCTATACTGCCTTGGTCAGACCACACCTGGAACACTGTGTCCAATTCTGGGCACCACAATTTAAGAAGGATGTTGACAAGCTGGAAGGTGTGCAGAGGAGGGCAACAAAGATGATCAAGGGTCTGGAAACTAAGCCTTACGTGGAGCGCTTGAAGGAGCTGGGTATCTTTAGCCTGGAAAAGAGGAGACTGAGAGGAGATATGATAGCCATCTTCAAATATCTTAAGGGCTGTCACATGGAAGAGGGAGCATGCTTGTTTTCTCCTGCTCTTGAGGGTAGGACTCAAACCAATGGCTTCAAGTTACAAGAAAGGAGATTCCGACTAAACGGTTGGGAAAGCTTTCTGACAGTAAGAGCTGTTCAGCAGTGGAACATACTCCCACGAGAGGTGGTGGACTCTCCTTCCTTGGAGGTTTCTAAGCAGAGGTTGGATGGCCATCTGTCATGGATGCTTTGGCCAAGATTCCTGCATTGCAGGGGCTTGGACTAAATGGAACTTGGGTACATCCCAGCTCTAAGATGCGTTGTTGTTGTTGTTGTTGTTGTTGTTGTTGTTGTTTAGTTGTTTAGTCGTGTCCAACTCTTCATGACCCCATTGACCAGAGCATGCCAGGCACTCCTGTCTTCCACTGCCTCCTGCAGTTTGGTCAAACTCATGTGGAAACAGCAGAGTAAGGCATGTAAATTTGATGAGGATGATGAAGACAGTTACAGGCTTACTTGTGTTGTTTGGCTCATTTCACACGCTTTCCAAAAAAGGTTTTTAATTGTTGTAATTGTTATTGTTGTTGCTATTGTTGTTGTTGTTGTTTAGTCGTTTGTGTCCAACTCTTCGTGACCCCATTGACCAGAGCATGCCAGGCACTCCTGTCTTCCACTGCCTCCCGCAGTTTGGTCAAACTCATGTTCGTAGCTTCGAGAACACTGTCCAACCATCTCATCCTCTGTCGTTCCCTTCTCCTTGTGCCCTCAATCTTTCCCAACATCAGGGTCTTTTCCAGGGAGCCTTCTCTTCTCATGAGGTGGCCAAAGTATTGGAGCCTCAGCTTCAGGATCTGTCCTTCCAGTGAGCACTCAGGGCTGATTTCCTTCAGAATGGAGAGGTTTGATCTTCTTGCAGTCCATGGGACTCTCAAGAGTCTCCTCCAGCACCATAATTCAAAAGCATCAATTCTTTGGCGACCAGCCTTCTTTATGGTCCAGCTCTCACTTCCATACATCTCTACTAGGAAAACTCAAGGCAATCAGACCTGACCGGAAAATATATTGCACGGCAAATGACATGTTACGAGAACGCAAGCACATTCTCCGTTTCATGTGTGCTTCGCTCTGGAGGAGGAAGAAATAGATCTGTAATAAATCATGGTGATCATTATTATTAAACGCCCACCATAAGGTAGGAATGTGCATGGAATTGTGGGCTGTCAGTGGATGTGCACTGATTGCTGCTCTTTCCTATGTGCGGGCATGTGAACATAGGGATCTGCCCAAGACTGAGTCAGCCATCTTCCTCAGTATTGTCTACACTGACCGCCAGCAGCTCTTCACAGTTTCAGAAAGTGAACATTCACAGCCCTGCCTGCAGATTAAACCTGAGACCTTCTGCATGCAAGGCAGATGCGCTGCCAGGGATCTATGGCCGTTCTTTGCTGACCATTCCTTTTCAGGTCTTTGGTGCATTTTCAGTGTGAGGTGTGTTACTACTTACTGTATTTTTCACTCCATAAGACGCACCTAGTTTTTAGAGGGGAAATGCAAGAAAAAAATTACCGTATTTTTCGCCCTATAGGGCGCACCGGCCCATAGAGCGCACCTAGGTTTTTTGGGGGGGGATAAAGAAAAAAAATTACCCCCCCAGGTGCGGGGTTGGGGCTGGGGAAGCCCGAGCTTCCCCCGACCCCAGCCCCCAGAACAGGCTGCTATCTGCAAGCCTAGGGAGCCCGGCGGGAACTTCCGCCGGGCTCCCAAGGCTTGCAGATAGCTTCCTGAAGCCTGGAGAGCGAGAGGGGTCGGGGCGCCCCGACCCCTCTCGCTTTTCAGGCTTCAGCGAAAGCCTGCATTCGCCCCATAGGACACACACACATTTCCCCTTCATTTTTGGAGGGGAAAAAGTGTGTCCTATAGGGCAAAAAATACGGTATTTTTAAAGGGAGCACTGAGCAGAGCCTGTATGCATCCCTTTCACGAGCCACATGGAGCGTGTGTGCGGCTCTTGGGGGCTTTTCTCCAAGAGGGAGAAGAGCAGCCCGCCACTGACTTCCCCCACCTCGTAGAAAAGCCCACAAGAGCCGCTCACCCTTTAAAGAGCGTGTGGCTCTTGCTGGCTTTTGCGGGAGGTGGGGGAATTGTCCCCCCTTGGGGAAAAGCCTGCAAGAGCCACGCAGAGCGTGTGTGCGACTCTTGGGGGCTTTTCCCACCTGCCACCCACCTGCATTCGCTCCATAAGACGCACACACATTTTTCCTTACTTTTTAGGAGGGAAAAAGTGTGTCTTATGGAGCAAAAAATACGGTAGTTATTTGGACAATTCTGTGTCCAGGGCAGCTATCTATCAGCTCCATCTGGTACGCAGGCTGAGACCCTATCTGCCCATGGACTGCCTCACCAGAGTGGTGCATGCTTTAGCTATCTCCTGCTTGGACTACTGCAATGTGCTCTATGTGGGGCTACCTTTGAAGGTGACCTGGAAACTACAATTAATCCAGAATGCGGCAGCCAGACTGGTGACTGGGAGTGGCCACCTAGACCATATAACACGAGTCATGAAAGACCTACATTGGCTCCCAGTACATATCTGAGCACGATTCAAATTGTTAGTGCTGACCTTTAAAGCCCTAAACTGCCTTGGTCCTGTATACCTGAAGAAGCGTCTCCACCCCCATCGTTCAGCTCCGAGGGCCTTCTGGTGGTTCCCTCCCTGCGAGAAGCGAAGTTACAGGGAACCAAGCAGAGGGCCGTATCAGTAGTGGCACCTGCCCTGTGGAAGACCTTCCCACCAGATGTCAGGGAAATAAACAACTATCTGACATTTAGAAGACATCTGAAGGCAGCCCTGTTTAGGGAAGTTTTTAATAACTGATGTTTTAATGTATTTTTAATCTTTTGTTGGAAGCCACCCAGAGTGGGCAGGGTATAATTATTATTATTATTATTATTATTATTATTATTATTTCTAGTACGCTGTACCTACCAACAACAACAAAAGCACTGCTCCTTGTCATTTCATCCTCACAACATCCTCAGTGCTGACTGGCCCAAGGTCACCCAGGGAGCATCATGGCTGAGCGAGGATTCGAACCCTCCTCTCCCAAGGTCCTACTCCATCGCTCTAACTCTCACGCGACACTGGCTCTCTTACTAGCAGGAATGAGCACTTGGGGACTATTCTGGAATGAAAGATTCCCCAAACCACAGTCAGCCCGTCCCCTTTCTCTCCCTCTCAGTTTTCTGACAGCAACACTCCCGCCCTCCCCAGCAAAGCAGTTCAAGGGGCAGAGGAAGACAAACTCACCCACAAACACTTGGAACATTATTATAGAGATGGAGGACGTAGCAATTTGTCCCCCACGTGGCTTTAACGTCAGAATTTTTTCATTCCTGCTGCTCGCTTCAAGAGCTTTGAAACCAAGAATGTGTGCCTGAGCTTGCTTTCCTCCTTCTCCCTCCCAGTCCCTTTTCCTTTTATATCCTGTCTCTTAGAGATTCTGATAGAACCTCACTGTGGGTATAGAAAGACAGAGGGAAGCCTTTTCCAGGCTATTTAAAGAAATATTATAATATGGTGAATTTGTGATCAGGATTTGAACTATGGGCAACAGAAAGACTTAGAACTACAAAAGACAGGGACATGATCCATGACAAAATAAAAAAAATTGATAAGGACATCACACACACAAAAGGCAGAGGCATATCTATTAGGAATTCTAGATAAAGATATCCCAAAAGATAAAACTAACTTATTTCTATACGCGACAACAGCGGCAAGAATTTTGATTGCTAGCTATTGGAAAGAAGACAGCATCCCAACAAAAAGAGAATGGTTGGGAAAACTTTGCGAGTATCTGGAATTAGCAAAACGGACGGATATAATAAGGAGAAAATCCAAAACTATGGTTATGAAGCAATGGGAGTGCTTAAATGATTATTTACAAGACCAGGGCTCAACTACAAAAATCTGGTTGTGTTTAGAATAATCTTGTGCGTAATATAAAAAATACAAAGTGAGACATTAAGGAAATCCAAAGGGAAAATATGAAGAACAGAGGTTCTGACGAACGGATTATTAAAAACACATGAGGTAAACGGTGGAAGTCTTTTTTTAAAAAAAAAAACAATAACAACAACACTTTATTTAAGGTAGATAAGGACAAGATGAAATTATACAATTGAATATAAATATAGATGGGAAATGGCTATGTATTGTGAGTACTTATCTACTTTTAAAAATTTTCACTTAAGATCTTTTTCTTTTACTTCTTTATTCTTTCTTTGTTCTTTTTTTCTTTTTTCTGATATCTTATCTTTCATTTCACTGCTTTATTGTGAATAGCATTTTATAGAGGTATAAATAACTGTAAATATGAAAAGAGACAAAATATTCTCTAATTTTTTTTCATTGGTTAGATGTATTTTCTTTTTCTTTTGTATTTTCTTTTGTTGTGAATATGTATGTTTTCTAATTTGTACTTAATAAAAAAAATATAAAAGATAGGGTGCAGCAAAGGGGAGGGATAAAAAAAAATACCATTGAAAATGGGATGGGAAGTCGACAAAACAAAAGAAAAATGTATTATGTATTGGAATATCTATGGGAACTTTGTGGAACTCTAATATTGCTCCATGAAGCTCAGTAGGGCCTTCAATGTTGACTCTGTACATACTGGCAACAATTCTCTAGGGTTTCAGAGCAGGATCTCTCCCAGCCCTAGATGGAGATGCTGGGGATTGAACCTACGACCTTCTGCATGCAAAGCGGGTGCTCTGCCACTGAGCTAAAGTTGCAGGCATCACTTGCCCAGCCAGCTTGGCAGCCCTGGCTTCATTCATCATTGGATGCTTGTGAAGAATGTCAGCGGCAAAGACAGGCATGATGAGTCAGCCAGAGGAAGAGGCAAGAGTATGGCATGCCAGGCTGCCAGGCTGACAAAGAATTCTACACTTGCACTATCTAAAACCCTACTCAACAGAAAGAAATATGATTTACAATATGATAGACAAAAATGGAGTGAAGAGTTTGTTGTTGTTTAGTCGTTTAGTCGTGTCCGACTCTTCATGACCCCATGGACCAGAACACGCCAGGCACTCCTGTCTTCCACTGCCTCCCGCAGTTTGGTCAGACTCATGTTTGTAGCTTCGAGAACACTGTCCAAACATCTCGTCCTCTGCCGTCCCCTTCTCCTTGTGCCCTCCATCTTTCCCAACATCAGGGTCTTTTCCAGGGAGTCCTTTCTTCTCATGAGGTGGCCAAAGTATTGGAGCCTCAGCTTCACGATCTGTCCTTCCAGTGAGCACTCAGGGCTGATTTCCTTCAGAATGGATTGGTTTGATCTTCTTGCAGTCCATGGGACTCTCAAGAGTCTCCTCTTCTGCAATCAGCCTTCTTTATGGTCCAGCTCTCACTTCCATACATCACTACTGGGAAAACCATAGCTTTAACTATACGGACCTTTGTTGGCAAGGTGATGTCTCTGCTTTTTAAGATGCTTAGTGAAGAGTTAGGGGTACAGATAACAAATGATATATGGGAGTCAAGTATAAAATAAACAGAAATAGCCTCTATGGACCTAAGACTAAGACTTATTCAGCAGAAAATAATATTCAGAGTCCACTGGACTCCAGCAAAACTTTACCAGAAGAAAATAAAAAATGCAGACAAATGCTGGAGATGTGGAAGTAAAAATGTGAACTTAGTACATATGATGATTAACTGCCCGATGATAAGATTACTTTGGTGCGAGGTGAGGATATATATAACAAGAGTAATTTTTAAAAAAATGTTATTTAGGGGAATTGAATTTAATTCTAAATTATATACCAGAAACGTGGGAGATTAAAGGTAAAGGGACCCCTGACCATTAGGTCCAGTCGTGGCCAACTCTGGGGTTGCGGCGCTCATCTCGCTTTATTGGCCGAGGGAGCCGGCATACAGCTTCCAGGTCATGTGGCCAGCATAACTAAGCTGCTTCTGGTGAACCAGAGCAGCGCATGGAAATGCCGTTTACCTTCCCGCCAGAGCGGTACCTATTTATCTATTTGCACTTTGACATGCTTTTGAACTGCTAGGTTGGCAGGAGCAGGGAGATTACAAGAGGTTAAAAAAAATGGATGTACCGTGCCATATTTGAAGCAAAAAAACTTGTTTTGATGAATTGGAAGAGCTGCAAAAAGTTTCCATTGAGCACATAGATTGACAATATGGACAGACTAGCTACATACGAACGAATTGCATGTCGACACAAATTAAGAATGGATAAATATGAAGAAAACTGGAAAGAATATTTAAGCGATAAGGCGGACAGTGGTGGGAAGTAGGGGGAGGAGAGGTGGGGAAATATTGTTAAAAAGGTGTAGTTATAGGTATATCAGTACTCAAATCTGAATTGTTAAATTGTGGTATTAGTGTTATTGTGGTTTTCGTTGTATGTGTTTTTTGTGGTTGTTTTTGTATTGAAAAAATGATTAAATATTTTTTTTTAAAAAGCTGCCAGATTGACGAGTTGCCTTCAAGGGGCAGCGGGGGCAAACATTCCCAGTCAAAGATTCGTGGGAAAGGCTGGCTTGCCTCATCAGCTCAGGGGGCAATGCTACTGGCATCGCAGCCAAAGTCATTCCTGTTGACATAGGAATCGCTGGAATAAGTGGCAGTCAAGGTGACAGCCAAAAGGAAGCGCCATCTGTCCAGCAATGACTCATCACCATTCGGTCCTGACCTGCCCTGCAGCATAGTGTGAAATGATGTTGTTGCTGGTTTTTAATCCCACTCTTCAGTTGAAAAAAGGCTCCCAGAGCAGCTTACAAATATCAAGGAGAAGACTGCCCCTGTCCTCAGGCACACAATCCGAGAGGCATGGCACAGAAGGAAAGGGGAAGGGAAGGGAGAAGGAAAAGGGCAAGATCCTATATTTTTTTGTTTCAGAGCTCTTGTACCAGCAACAGGGAAGGTATTAAAGTTGCTGCTTACAAGTAGTAGTAGTAATAATAATAATAATAATAATAATAATAATAATAATAATAATTTTTTATTATTTATACCCCGCCCATCTGGCTAAGTTTCCCCAGCCACTTTGGGGAGCTCCCAATTAAGTGTTTAAAAACAATACAGCATTAAATATTAAAAACGTCCCTAAAGAGGGCTGCCTTCAGGTGTCTTTTAAAGATAAGATAGCTGCTTATTTCCTTCACATCTGAAGGGAGGGCTTTCCACAGGGCGGGCGCCACTACCGAGAAGGCCCTCTGTCTGGTTCCCTGTAACCTCACTTCTCTCAGCAAGGGAACCGTCCAGAAGGCCCTCAGTGCTGGACCTCAGTGTCTGGGCTGAACGATGGGGGTGGAGATGCTCCTTCATGTATACAGGACCGAGGCCGTTTAGGGCTTTAAAGGTCAGCACCGACACTTTGAATTGTGCTTGGAAACGTGCTTTTCTCTCAAGTGTGCCTTAAACTCAACACACTCTTCCACCTCTCATAATTAAAGAACTGAACAGAACCTTAACCCAACTGTTATGGCTTATCTGGAAACTAAAGGCAAGAATGGATGACTCTCTTTATTCCACTCTACGGTTTTTTTGAATGAAAGATGGTTTATAAATAAAAGGATAATTTCGTTCCGATCTGCACAGAGTCCAGGAGACAAAAAAAATAATGGGGTCATTCAAATTCCTAAAGCACTCCTGCCCAAAACCTAATCCCACCCTTTCACGCGATGATCAAAGTCGCTTAAAAGATGGATCAAATCTAAAACCGAATCTAAAGGTGCCTTGCTTATAATAAGAGCATTTGGCACTAATAGGGTGAATTTTCCCTCCTCCTCCCCTTGTATATTTGGAATTGTATATTTGAATGGTGAAGGGGGGGGCAGTCAGTGTTATCTGCATTAGTAATCGTAAGCAGAAAAACAGGAGATGCTGTTTTCATTTGATTAGACACAGTTGATGGACTTGATCTTGTATTTGGTGCATTGATAGCTACATGCTCCAGGCTCCCCACTTCAGAGCTGTTCTCCCAAATGTGGACAGTGAGGGGTGGGGCTATTAAGGGGTGTGTCCAGCTGGAGGCGGGGCTGCATTGATGGGGGCGTGGCCAACAAACGCGGCCTGGCTCTCTCACTCCACGTTATTGTAGCTCAGTGATCCTTCCGTGGGCTTTGTCTCTGTAAGGAAGAAAGAGGAGAAAGGGCTTGTTTTGAAACAGTTCTAATTGCACACTCGAGGCCGTTCAAGGGCCATCAGCAGCTACCCTCCACGAGCCTTGGCAAGCTGTTTCAAATCTATTTCCCTTCGTCTCCGGTATTTATAGCACGCCTCTTGTCATGAAGGAGTAAGTGATGAGAGAAAGGAGGGATCGATCGGGGGCACTTTAATTTAATAAAGCAAATATATAAAGAACTGCTTTGTAAGTGCTTTGCCCTTCCATCACAGTAAACACAACGCTTGTAGTGTGCGGTTGAAATCCTAAGCCTAGATGGCTACTCCAACATCCCTAGAGCTAGTTCCTGTGAGGTCAATGTGAATAGCGTTAAAAACGTAAGAAGAGCTTCCTGGATCGAGCCAATGGCCCATACGATACGATACGATACGACACGATACAATAATCTTTATTGTCATTGTCCCATACTGTCAGGGAACTGCCATCAGCTCAGAGGCGAGAGGTGGAAGGGCAGCTGGGTTACAGAGAGCTTCCAAAGATAGTGAGAAGCAGCACTTCCTCCGCGGAGGAGGGAAGCCCCGCCTCTAGTGGGGAAGGGGTGCAAGGCTCGGAGGATGCAAGAGAGAGCCAAGACACCGTGCATGAGCAAAGCGGGGGGGAGGCAGGTCCCCCTTTACCTACGCCCTCTCTGCACAGTTGGTTTACGCACAGAGAGGGGAGGCGTCGGATGGGGGTCAAGAGACTACTCTGCTGGGGAAAGTTTAAGGACCGCCCACTCTCAGATTCTGCTAGTGACTGAGCAAGACATGGAACTGAGACGTTCTGCACTGGAAATGTTTTTGCACCAATAATAAAGCCTTTTGAAAAGACTGGTGGGGATCTTGCCTGTTCGCTCTCGAGTAACCATGCTAGTAGGCACAACACATACATAACAACGAAATTAAAAATCTACATCAGACATCCAGAAACCAACAAGCCTGCTATCCCAGCTATCCCAGCCTGGTTAGCCCCCTAAAAACTCTGATAAAGGTAAAGAGACACCTGACCATTAGGTCCAGTCGTGGCCGACTCTGGGGTTGCGGAGTTCATCTCGCTTTATTGGCCGAGGGAGCCGGTGTACAGCTTCCAGGTCATGTGGCCAGCATGACTAAGCCGCTTCTGGCGAACCAGAGCAGCGCACGGAAACGCCATTTACCTTGCCGCCGGAGCGGTACCTATTTATCTACTTGCACTTTGACGTGCTTTCGAACTGCTAGGTTGGCAGGAGCAGGGACCGAGCAACGGGAGCTCAGCCCATCATGGGGAATAGAACCGCCGACCTTCTGATCAGCAAGACCTAGGCTCTGTGGTTTAACCCACAGCGCCACCCACATCCCTTAAAAAAAAAAACTCTGATACCCCATAATTAAATACAATATACTCCCATAGACACTACCTTACACTGCGTTTAAAACCAAAATCGCATTTGAATAGAAACTGTTTCTCAGGCAGCTAGTCCTAGTCTTTATAACCCTGTTCCTTCTTCCAGAAGGCAGAAGCTGAAAGAGATCATTTCTGGGGTGCGCACTACCTTGCACTATCTCTGCAGCTTTTTTATGGCACCTGGAAGCATAGATTTGATCCAAGGTACGGAGAGTG